TTAACTAATTTAGCGATATTTCGAATCAATTTACCACTGCTATGGTGAAAAATTATCAATTTTTGAATGCTGCTTATAATTTCTTTATGACTGTAACCCATTTTTCAATAATAAATAGAATGTTATGAAATAAACAATAAAAAATTAAAGCAAATGATTTTTTAAATGCCACCACAATGCAAAAATTAAAAAAAAAGTGGCAAACGGTAATTCTAATTTTGATTGTATCCAAAAATTTTTCAGTGTATGAAGACTTTTGTGAGATAAATTGTTTGTCATTTTTTATTATTAATTTCTTAAAAATAAAGTTTTGCTATATTTAAAAAATGCGTCATGTAATTTTGTTACAAGTAGATTACAGATCTTATTATTAAAATCTCATTCAGAAAGTTTACTTTTAATTAATGGATAGAGTCCTGTTTCTGTGAAAATCATATGTGTACAAACACTTGGGTGTTGGTGTTGGTGTATTTAATTATGGCAAAGCACAGGAGGGCTATCTGCCTAATGGGTGGGATGCCTTCGTGGAAGACTTTCTAAGGGAAATTTGCTCGTGTACACGTTATACATGGGGAAAACCACGAAAACGCCCATGCAGCCAGCCCGTTCGAACAAACACTTGGGAGCCACTGTACATATATATATACAGTGGCTCCCAAGTGTTATATATATATATATATATATATATATGCCATCGATGTTTTGGTAATTTAAATATTTTTTCTTTGAACAATTCAAGTAGATGTAGGATATTCAAATCGATTAATTAATAATTGATTAATCTAAGGATATTTCTATGTATTTGATTTATCAGTGGGCGTATTCCCATGTGAGCATATATCTATGTGGGCATAGTTTTGTGTGGCATTTATACCTGTGAGCCTTATTCTGTGACCATTTTTCCTGTGGGCATTCTTCCGGTCACCCTTCTAAAATCATTTAAGCTCCTGAAATTGCTGTCTATCAGTAAATTTGTTCTATACTTTGCTGCGAAAGGAATGATGTTGATTTACTCTCAGATCATCATTTAGAAGGAATTTGAGCTAAATCCTGTATAAGTGCACTTGTCATTTATTTTTACTTCTTTGTATGAAGTAAAGGAAGTATTGTAATCTTAAAAAATTTCAGGTATCACAGTTCTACAAAATATCCATTTTGACTGCTTTCGAATCTATTCGAACAATGTTTTTGCGTGAGATTTGTCCATACTGGCAGAATAAAGGGCTCTTTTTTTCAATGGATTCGCAAGATATTTTTTCGTGATGTCTATATGTGTGTATATTTGCATATGTAACTTGCATCACTCGAAAAATGAGTACCTTAGAATGTTGAGATTTTTGGTATGGGACTGATGTAAGATGTATTTGTGCACCTCCCTTTTCGGTTGCAGTTGGCCACGCTGAACATCTTTAAATGTATATATATTTATACCCATTCTGTTATCCATCTCGGTGAGCTCAGGTATTTTTATTCTTTTATGTTGGTAAATTGCACAGTATTTGCTTTAACACTTAACCATTTCATTTCCCTGCTATATTGTTACCAAAAATAAGACCAATCAATTCTCTCCTGGACTTCTAGAGACATCTATTAAAAACACTGTGAAGTAAAAAATGTGAAAAAACCAGGAAAATCAGTGAATTGGTATAGGAAAATACACAGCCCAAGTGGTGCACAGTCAAACCAAAAAAGTCCCTTTTTGCGGCACCTGAATTGTGTTTGGTTTACACCAGGGATGGGCAAACTTTTTCGGTCGCGGGCCACAAATCGATAAAAAAAAGTTTGGCGGGCCAACATAATTTTTCTAAAATTTTAAAAACAATATACAAGTATTACAATTTAAATATGTTAATGAGATGAATGAAATTGTGATTTAATTTTTAAAAGTTCCTTTTATTGAGCTTCGAAGTGAGATGTACTGATTCTAAGGAACAAAGCTAAATGCTCATCAGTCTGTCTACTTCTGAAATAATTCTTTTCCAAGGTTTATACTTGAAACACTTGTTCACATATATAAGATGAAGCAAACATAGCACTGATTTTCTGGGCGTGAGATATTAAATTTGGGAAACTTACGTTCGATAATGATTTGTAAAACTCTAACTTTGGCATATTTAGAAACAACTGCTTGAGTTGATTGTTAGATTGCAACTCAATTAATTCAAGCTGCAAATCTGAACACACTGCTTCACAATTTATGTTGAAAGGTATGGTAAAAATATCCACTTCTGTTTGAATGGAACTGAAATCTTGCGATCTGGATACTGTTAATCTTCTTATAAATATTTTATCAGTCAAATAATTTTTTACAAAGACTTTCTACATTTTGTTTGCTTTCATATTCTTCGTAACTGGAATTCTTATGCTTAGGTGTGAAATGACAGGAAATGTTATATTCCTTGAAGACTGCTTCAGCTTCATTGCACATGAGACCCACTGGTTTATCTTTTACAACTGTAAAAAATATTTCCAGGTCCATTCATCATTAAAAGCACGGCACTCTGAATAAACTTTACGTTTATTAGTAGCCATTTCAGGGTTTACGTATTTTACAAATAACCCAACAACCACTAGCTACGCTATACTTTTAATAATTTCACCACTATTCACAATGATGCTATAAGTCCGCAATCTTTCCATACGCAATGAATAATATTAGACCTCGCGCCAAAAGAAAAGGCCGCTGGCTGGAGCTTAAACTGCGTAGTCTGCCACATGTGAAATCTAATTCACCTACACTAGATTCCCATATGTCTGCTCCCCGAGAAAGCGATAACGCTTGTTGGCGCCAATCTACAGCTATAACTAACAAAGAACTTCCCGCTTTTAACACTTTACTGATTGAAAGCTGTCTGTGCTTGCTATTTCCGTCAATTTATGTTTTGTAGAACAAAAATATAGAAAATAAAAAGATCATAAGTCTTTTGGGAAAGAAGAAAAAATAATATTTAAACGAAGTAGAAAAGGAGATGAATATATAATATATAAATATGTATTTCTTTTAATTTGCCTCAGACCGTCAAATTAAAATTCTATCGGCGGGCCGTAGTTTGCCCATCCCTGGTTTACACCATTCGGGAAAACAACTAAGTGGTTAAAAGAGATTGAATTATGTTGTTCTTGTATTCTGCTTAAGGATTTTGTAGCTTTAGTTAATCTCCATGTGATAGCTATAGAATTGTCAACAATTTAAAAATTTAAATGCAGCTAAGTATAATGAGGTCATAATTTGTTTATATTTGAAAGTCTCAGTAGAGTTGTGAATAAAGTCAGTGCACCAACTTCAATGTCTTTTTGCCCAGGGTGGCTAATTTTGTCCACGATTTTTTTTTTCACCCCTGCCTGCTGGCCAAATTGCTGGTTTTTGTGTAGAAACTCAAATTTTCATTGCAAAAATTGCTTTTGCCCCCCCCCCCAACTGAATTTGTTGTGTTAGTTTTTTTGGCTAATCTTTGGAATATGGTAACAGGTAGTTAGGCGACATTTTGGTAAGGTGATAAAGGTTACTAGCTATGACTTTTTAAGGTTACTAGCAGTATACATGGATAAAGTCAAGAGTGTGCGCAATGCCATTTTTGTGCAATTCTGGGATGTTTTTTTAAGTGAAAATAGGTTGACGTGTACATGGATATCATGTATGCACAATTCTTAAAAACACGGGAAGCAGTTTGCGATTCTACACTTTCTCCCAATTTCGCACTTAATCTTCGTCATGATTAAGCACTTTTGTTCCATAAAAGTTCTAGCATAAGCGTAATTCGGCTAGCAGATTGTTGTGGAAAAAGTGTTGAGTATATATATATATTTATAAAAGCCTTTACTTCGTGAAAACAAAATGGCGTCCAAACAAAAATTAGCAGTGTTGGTCGCCAAAAAGTCGCCAAGTTACCATAATCCAAAGATTAACCTTTTTTTTTTTTTTTTTTAATGAAGATTGAGTTTTTATGTGAGAACTGATTTGATTGGATTAAAATTATATCTCTAATGAGATTTGAGAAAGTAAGTTTACGTAGAGTACTGCAAAAAATGTGTATTTTAATAGGCCATACAAAGAAGAGATGTCAAAAAAAAAATAGCTGAAGTGGTATCTATATCAGATATTTTTTTTAAGCACCAGTCGGGCTAATAGTCACAAAACTTATTTTTGGTCCCTATCACTTTTGTACTTAAATCACTTTTCAGATTCTTGCCACCAAATGTTATAATGATGTATTATTATTATTATTATTTATTTATTTATTTTTTTTTAAATAAAGAAGGAGGAATCTATATATATGTATGTGCTTCTCGCATTGTGGAAAAATGATGGCACCTAGAGCCACCCAATTTTGAATACATGTAGTCTTTCACCTGAGCATGGGAACCTCGAAATCTGAATTTTGAATTTGTTTTTGATCTATTTCATATTTCATACAAATTTAATGAACTTAGTGATTTTAAAGCAAGAAGTGGCAACACTGTTTTAAGTAAATTATCTCAGGTGCATCAGACTGTTGCCATTTAGCAAAATATGAGATATTTATCTTTCAATTTTAATCCACCAATGGCTGTTTGAAAACAATGTGTTTTCACTGCCTTAAATATGATACTTATTATCTCCATACACCAACAAGTTGCCATTCAGTAAAACATACGATATTTAACTCTCAAATTTAGTCTACTAATATGTAGTAAATGAAGTGATTGAAAATAGTTAATGCATTTAAAATGCTAAGTAAGGCTGAGGGGAAGCAAAATGTGTTAGCAAGAGTGAGTCCAAGAGGAGATTGGTAATCTTCTTGTGCAACACTAAAACCTGAATTATTTATTTATTATTATTATTGAGAATGCTTAAAATTCCATATTTAAAACATAAAAATGTTTCTCGGTTATGTTTTTGTTGAATTATTTAAAATTAAATTGTATTAATAAAATGTTCTTTAAAGATTAAATGTGGTTAATTATTAAGCTCAGTTTGCTTTTATTGTCATTGAATATTGTGTTTAATGAATTATTTTTAGGAGGTTTTGAATAATATTGTGATAGCAGATATGAAATCAAACAAAGAAAATATCAGTGATGCAGTTCTTTCTGTTGAATTTGTTATGAAAGAAAGTAAGGCCTCCTTTTTTTTTTTTTTTTTTTTTTTTTCTGTCAAAAATCATTAGTTTATTGTTTTGGAATATTTATTTATTCTTTTGTTTTTAGATATCTATGGCTACACGAATAATGGCAAAGTGCCATTTCTGAAGGTAACAGTGTTATTGCCAAGATTTTTGCCTGCTGCGAAGCGTTTGTTAGAAACAGCTGTTAAATTTGGAGATTATGGAAAGCTCACTTTTCCTGCTTTTGAAACAAACATAGATTTTGAAATTAAGTAGGTATATTATGTTGAAAATTGTATTTCAATTCATTCTTAATTATCAGTACTTAATGTCTTAACAGAGAAGGATTAGCTAACTTTTGTTTTAATTTGATACGATAAGTTTTCCTTTATTTCGGGTGGGAAATGTGCTATTGTTTCTAAAAAAGTTTTAAAGGGTTATCCTAAGCTAGAGCTTTCTATGGCATGAACTCCGCTAAGTACAACTTCAAATGGTGTCTTGCTGTGTTCTCATGTTTCTTGTTTCTCCACTGAAGAAAATCATATCCACTCGATATTTTGCGTATGAACTCCGGAATGTGGATTCACAAAACTGAATTTGTTCACTCTGAAAAGCTCGAACCTGGCTTTTTTAAATTCTGTTTTATAAGTGGCCCAGGAATTAAAATTGGTTGTTCCTATTTTAATATTTTCTTTTACTGCATTTAACAAAGTTATGGCTTTGTAACCAGGCACTGTAAGAAGAAAGGTTTCTTTAGTTTCCTAGCAAGTACCACTGAAAATCCATTGAGGCAGCAAATGCGGTCAATGTTATTTTTTCTTTTCGAGAGCAGGATTTCATTAATCTATACAGTTAAACCTTTACTACTAGTTTTTTTTTTTTTTTTTTTTTTAAACATTCATTGCTCTGCATCTCGTAGATGCATATTTCTCTCAAATTTTTCGATCTATAACAATAGTATCAGCCAGGTTGAGTTCTTTCTTGCAAAATTTTATTTATGTTGTTTCCTTAGACTAGCAGAAGATGAATCTCATGCCAGTAGTAAATGGCAATCTACTTGACGCAAATCAGTGGCTGACTCGCATTTTCACCAATTTCATGTCTTTCCAAAGTTTCCATGTACTCTTCGATTTACTAAAATAAAATATTTTGTGCAAATTTATAAACATTGACAGTTACTTGCTGATGTACGATACTGTTGTATCTGGCTGACAAGAAAGTAATTTCGATTTTTTTAATGGGAAATAAAACTTGGTTTTTTGTACAAAATATGAATTTTAATCAGTCAAATGTCTTCTGTTTTGTTCAATGACCTTTGACCATCTTTCTGATAACTTCATGATTCCATGCTCTTCGAAGTTCTGGTCTTTATTAGCAAATAACTCAAAACAAGTGTAATTTGAGCTCATAATTATAACTGACATTTTTACCATTTAAGAAGTTTTGTAAACTTGATATTGAAATAAATGATAATCTGATTGTGCAAGGTTAAAGCTGTATGGGGATGCGGCATCACTTCCCAATCGAGCTTGCAGCAATTTCTTGTGTATTGCTAAAAATGTGGAAGGCCTCACATTGTTGTGGTGGAACACAATTCCTATGCGATTTTGCCAATTTTGGCCTTTTCTCATTGATTATTTCCTGCAATTTCATAAGTTAATGGCTGTAAACATCTGAGTTACTCATTTAGTTGCTTAACTCTTTCGCATCGAAGTCTGCCGTAACGCCCGTTCATTCAGGCAATGGCTAACCGCCCCAACGCCTCGTTTATTTTCTACCTAGTTCTTTCCTCTCCACGTTAGTGTATGAGTCATTGGTTTCGCGAGTTGTTAAAAGACATGTCAATCATTCTTTTGAAGCAAATAAAGGAGAAATATAGAAAGGTATTGACGTTCGCAATCCGGCCTAAGGTGAAACTGCACACAATGGATGAAACCGCAGGGGAAAAGGAAAACTATTCCAAGACAAATTCGTAAACACGGGCGCTTTCGATGTTTGTTGAAAACAGATTTGGTCGTCTCTCGATGCGAAAGAGTTAAAAGCAGCTCAAAATACATAGCACCTTTATAATCCCACCCAAATTGACAATATGATCTTTTCCTAATGCAATTTAGCTTTCAATATGATTTGTAATAATTCATCACGCTTGGTCCATGATCTTTTTCAATTAATGTTATTGTAGATAATCCATTTTTCATCATCAGTGGTAATTTTTAAAAAAAGTTTGATTTCATTATGTTTGAAATGTGTATCATATTGATTTGTTGTGTTGATTGTTGTGCCACCTATAAAGCAGAATTAATATTTACTCATATTGATTTGTCAATGAATATTTGTCTTTCAGTTCATTCAAAAGCCAAATATTGAGCTTTTTAATAAGTCAAAGACATTTTATGTGATTTTTTAATTGTTGTGTATGATGATACATTTGACCTTTCTGCAATCTCTTGTGCAGTGATATCATGAGTTGATTCAGTTATGGCTATAATTTTGTTATCATAAAACTTTAGAAAGTCGACCACAGCACTGGTCATCTTAAAATGAAAAATCTCCAGAACAACATTTTTAAACCAATTCCAACATATGCATTCTGTTAAGCAATTAACACCGTAAACTTTACATATCTCCTTGTGAGCCTCAGCCATTTTCTTGCCTTTATGAAAATTTTAAAAAATAATAAATAAATAAAATAAAATATGACAAAAATGTCTATTTTGCACCCCATGTTAAAATTGACCGTCAAAAATTCCTTTCTTTCCAATCCAGTAATAGCATCATCTTCATTGTTTGGTTGGTCCCATAGACTGATGATCAAATTATGAACTCCATTCTTAAAATTGTGGTTTATATAACTTAACTACATCATATGGTTGCTAAAATAATTAATTTGTATTATAGTGCCAAAGTTGGCAACTGTTGACTCTTTTTTGCTGAATTTTAGCTTTTTCTACATTGACATACTAAAGTAAGTACAGAGCTGTCAACACTCCCAATTTAGGCAGGAGACTCCCGATTTTCGACCGCTCTCCTGCCAACCCAATTTGCAATATATTTCTCCCAACTTTTTCTTATTCTTAAAATTTCTCACGATTTTTATGGAACTTAGCTTAATACTTTGTTATATGAACAAACAAACAAAAAAAAAAAAAAAAAAAGTGATTTTGGGCATCTGAAAGCAATTGAATTTTCTCTAGATTATATCTAAAACAAAACCTTGCGAACCAGAGGAGAATTTCTGCTTTGTGAGTGAGAGCATATGTATCCAGAAGCATTGTTCTCCAATGGGCATCAAGCTCCACTGCGTGTCATCTGGCATATATTAGCCAATGAGCACAAAGCAAGCTCAAGGCTGTTATTTGGTTCTTCTTTAGTTATTTCGTTCATCTTGTTGTGAGTTGTGTGAGTACACGTGCTTTCGGGAAATAGTTTTAGAAATTATCATCTTTTGTTATGTCTGCGAGAAAGGTGAAATACTTGTGTACGTTTCGAAAAATCGTACACAGTTGACTTTCCTTCCATTATTTCCTGAAAATAATGTCATAAATTTGCAATGTGTACCATCTGTTGTAGCGTTTTTTCGATTTCGCATGGTGGAAGGGCGGATGTTCTCGAACATGTGCATGCACAAAAACACAAGGACAGTATGAGTTGTTTGGAAAAATACGAAAAATTGAATTTTTCTTCGGAAACAAAAGACCAAAAAGTTATTAATGCAGAATAATGTTCTCTGCCTTTTTACCTGCCACTGAATGCATCTGATCACATTGCAGCTTTATTTAGAAAAATGTTTCCAGTTAGTCAAATCGCTAAGAAATACTCAAGTGAAAGGACCAAAACAGGTGCAATTGTTAATGAAGTGAGTTTGAAAAATAAATCTTCAGTTATTGATTGCATTAAAACAGCTCTGTTCTTCCTCTCTACGGTTGGAAGCAATAATACCGATTCAAAACTGTATCCAATTGTTGTTTCTTTTCTTAATCCAGAGTCTTCAGAAATTGAGTGCATTTACTTTCTGTCCCCACTTTAGAAGGACAATCGACAGGCTTCAATATAGCACAGCTATATTAAAACTTTTAAAGCATATGCAGTCCCTCTGGATAATTGCTTAGCACTTGGTGCTGATAATGCACCAGTAATGGTAGGCATCTTAAGAAAGGAAAATTCAGATTTGCAGATTATGAGGTGCACCTGCCCCCTCTTAAATTTAGCAGCTGAAAAATGCGCAACTTCTTTGCCAATAAATGTGGATGAACACATTGTTGATATTTATTATTATCTTGAAAAGAGTTCTAAAAATAAGGAAAAATTGAAACAGTCCCAACAGCTGCATAATACTGAAATGAGAAGCATTTTGAAACGTATGTACACGCTGCCTGTCTTTAAAGAAATGCTTATCTAGAATCCTCAATCAATGGAACCCACTTCTTGCATTTTTTTAAAGAAGAAATAAATGCTTCGAGAGTTAAGATAAAATGCTCTATTGAAAGTTATAAAATACCTAAAGTAAATGGAGATGTAGTTACTACTTCCATTGTTAAATATAGGTTTGAGAAAAATGAAGTAATTTCTGCACCATTCAGCAATTCAACTGGCAGTTCTAAAAAAAAAATATTCCAAAATATAAGCGTAAAGCTCATACAAATTTCTCTCAAAATAAAAAAATTGCTCAACACACGAAACATTTTCCGATTGCTGTAAGTTTATCATGTGAAGAACGAATATTTATGTTTTTTTCTTCGGACCTTAACAAAGCTTTTTGCTCTTTTTTTTTTAAAAGAAAACAATTCATTTTGCCATCATTCGATGTTCTTAACACGATTCTACAAAGCAGAATTCCATTAATTCATCTTTTGCAATCAATGATTTATTATCTGTTTAAAGACATTTTATCAAAGTTTGTAAAACAAGTCTGTGTTTTGTCTTGTAATTCTATATATATATGATGTGATTTATGCTGAAATAGAAAATCAGAAGAAAGGTGAAGATTTGGTATTAGGAGCTGCAACTACAAAAGTAGTGGAAGAACATTCAGAAGAAGACAAGTTTTATCTTTATGTAGAAGTTACTTCTGTCGAGTATGTGATTATATACTACATAAATTTCCAGTCAACGACGCAGTGATTTTGCATGCTAAAGTTGCTGATGTTTCTGCTCTAGCAAATGCATCTTTTTCTGATATAAGGTGCTTTTTGAACAGATTTCCTATGTTACTTCATTAAGTCATGAAAGGTGATGACATTGATGCTGCCACTGATATTATTGCAGTCGCAGTTTTGCAGTTTACAATTAGAAAACTTGGATGAAGTTATAAAATCAGCTAGGATTGACACCCAGTGGAGTTTAATTGGAAAACTGAAAGGCGCTGATAGAATTTTAAAATGTAGTGAACTGTCTAGAATTATGTTGGCCATCTTGACAGTTTCCCATAGTAATGCAGAGTGAGAGAGGATTTTCAGTGTTGTTGTGAAAACGAGGACTAAATTTAGATCTAATATTAGTGATGACACATTAGAAAAACTTTTATTAGTGAAAGCAGGCCTACGTGGCAATTGCTATGAACAAAATTATGAAGTTTCTTTTTTAACGAAAGCAAAATCTGCCACTGTTCATAACATTTGATTCAAGTGTCTCCTTTTTTTTTTTTTTTTTTTTTTTTTTTAAATCTTAAACGATGCAAGTAATAAAAATGGTTGGCAAGTATGTAAGTAGATACTTATCCATAGAATAAGTACTTGATTATTTTTGAGTGTTTAAAGGAAGCATTTTTTTCTGTTATGTATATAATTAAAATTATTCTTTTAGTATTTTATGGATGTCTTGTTTCAAAAGTAAATAATATGTATTAAAAACAAATTCTTTGTTTGCAGATTCATGGTTGCCACCAAAGTTGTTGGATGTAACTGGATTGAAATTCCTGCTGGTAAATATCGTTTGTTAACTGCTGGGGGGCCGAGAGCACCTACATCGCGTTGCCAGATAGAGCTAGATGTAGCCTGGAATGATTTCATTTCACATGAGCCTGAAGGCGATTGGTCAAAAATTGCACCTGTTCGTATACTAAGCTTTGATATAGAATGTGCTGGGCGGAAGGGTAAGCTATTATGTATAAAAATATTCTGATATGCAATAGCTTGTATAGTTGATGCATGACTAAATTTAAGTCTTGCTTTGGAACTGAAAAATGAGATTATTATTTTTTTTAATGGTCAGCCGTTTTTATTTAATAGCTGAGATCTTGAATATTAAAAATGTAGAGAAGGAATGTTTTGTTACAGCTTCTAAAATTAGTGAAATTCATGCTTTATTTTTATTACTAAGCTGGTTAAATACACATTTTAATACTTATTTATGTCTAAATGAAATAGATGTTAAAAATAAACTTTTAATAAAAGCATCAGTTTAGATATTGTTTTAATATATACAAGGTGATCCATGCCATGCCACATTTAAATATTATAAAAAAGGTACAAATGGTAGGATTGAAGGTTTATATTATTACAGTAATTAACCCTCAGCTGGAGGGGCTGGCGTATGGTACAATTTTAGAGGGGCGGTGTATGAAGTACGCCAGGTCGTGTTTGAAACTATTTAATCTTATACGTGGCATTAATAAAGTGATACGTCATGGTATAAATGATATAAGTAAAAGAATAACAGAAAAAAAGCAGTAAAGATGGAAATTACGAATTTTTAATTAAGTCAAAAAATGGAATGCAATGGAAATGTAATTTAAAGTTATATAGTATTCTGTATTATCTTCTGTATGAAAATTATAAGATCATAATTCAAATTTACAAATTATAAATGTTATAAAGAAAAGTTCATAACAAATTTCACAATGAAAAAATTTAAAACCTTTTGCTACTTTAATCTTTTTCAGATTGTCCCTGTTGACCTTTTGTAAGAAGATATTGAGCTAGCGGGTAGCTTGTATACCAATTATCAGTTGTCAGGTTATGGTTGAAACCTTTGTACGCACCAGTTAGCCTTTTGACAATGTCAATACTTGAATTAAAAGCCTCACAAGGTCCTGAGGGTTGATTGCCACAATAAATTTCGAGCTTCAATATATAAAACAATCATGAGTCAACAACCGCAAAAATTTTTGGGCCATACTTTGCGGGCTTGTAGGGGATGAATTGAATAAAAGAGTATCTCCCGCGAAAGGGTTCCAACTTCTCGTCGATTGCGAGTTCGTCTTCGTCACCTGGTGTATAAAACTTTTGACATTTCTGATTGAAAGATTCAAAAAATCCTCTTATTGCAGCAAGCTTATCAGTTTTTCTTTGCACATACCTTTGTGCCTTTATCATGAAATCTAATAGCAGCACACAGGTTTCTGAATCACTTGAGACCCATGACCCCTTGCAAAATTTCAATTCCAGTACTGTCTTTTACCCATGCTTCCTCCAAATTGAGTTTTGACTTTTTTTTTTTTTTTTTTTTTTTTGCATCCTAATAAAATTCCTAAAGAGGCCAACATTTCTGCTCTATTAGTATCACGCATGCTTCTCTTTGAGATATTTTGGAGGTTATCTGCAATCCTGTTACATTTGAGATAAATATTTGTATATTGTATAATAGCATCAATCATATTTGTATTTATGATTTTCTGGAAAGCCAGAAAGCTCATCATTTATATCGTCACAAGTTTTGGCACTTGGGCATATTTTTTTCATAACATTTTTTCGAGGCATTCTGACGAATTTGCTCTTCAGGGGAACTTTATTCCACATATAAGTTTCCTTTTCTTCTTTCAGAAACTTCCAACTTTCTTCTTTTTGTAAATTGTTTTTACAAAAAAGTCCTCATATTTTAAATCACTCATGTCATTTTCAACATCACTAAAATCGTCATTTGTTGGGGAAAGATCATTTGAGGAAGGAAAATGAGGATGTTTAGAAACATTTCCCTCAGTTTCTGATTCACTTTCATGATTAGAATGTTCGATGACTTCCGATTCATCAACATCAGATGTGTTATCCAAATTGTCGGAGTCTTCATCAACTGAGACTTCTTCTAAAATGCGCAAATAATCCTCAGAAGGTACACTATTCTTTCTGTACATACTTGAAGAAGCAGCGTACTGCGTTCACCTACACAACATGTTCGCAATAACTGCTTTCGGAATTAAAGCGAAAACCAGACTGGCCAGAAATACCAAATGCATTGCACTCATGGAATATTTGTAGGAGGATAGAGGAAGGGAGGAAGCTCAGGAAGAGGTTGTCTAAAAATTACAGCCCAAAAGATGGCATTGGCGTACTCTGAATGCCGGCTCCTCCATTGCAGGGTTAAAAATGCTTTTTGCATATTATTATCAGACTTCATTGTATGAACTTTTTTTTTTTTTCCTTAAAATGTATTTAAGAGTATCTCATTTTAAATTCAAGCACATTCAAGTCTCAGTACCTAGATAATTTGTGTTTTGAATTCTATATTGTTTGTCACTTAAGATATGTATGCTTTGTCCTTGATCATAATCTGTAAGAATAAGTGTAGGAATATCAACTTGAAGAAAATATAGTTAGTATTCATACAGTCCATAAGAGTCCTGAGTGTTTTTTATTTTTTTATTTTTTTTAGGCAATTTTTAGTCCTTAATTATGGCCAAAATTGGCAAAGGGTTCTTAATTTTACTCATCTGATATTTCGGTCAGTTTTTTACAACTGCTATGTATGTAAATGAACATTTTGGAGGAATATTTTCTGGCGATTTCATTGACAAATATATATTTGGTTTGTTATCATATAGATTAGTTCCTACTTCTAATATAAATGGTTTCACGTCTCTACGTCAATTGAAACATAAACATTTTGAATTTTTTTTTTTTTTCCTCTTTGCTGCTGATGAGGAGTTTATAAAAATTACATTTGGACGATCTGAAAATTTTCTGACAATTTATTTTCTTCTTTACAAACATAGCATTGATAAATATTGTCGCATAGATAAAGTAACTGTACAAATGAAGAGGCAAGTACTCAAGTGGGAACTCATGACTTTATTATTCAAACTGAATGAGTAACCAGTTATATACACTTGATGAATGAGCTGGAACATTCTAGACTCGAAACGTTCTAGAAAATGGAGAAAATTCTCTATTATTTAAACATAAAGGAAACAAACTGAAGGAAGGAAAGTTAAGCAAAAACCAATTTTTAGGCAACTTGCCTTTGATGGGTTTTGAAATCGGGACCTTTCGGTTTCCGAATCCTACGTCTTACCGAGTCATGATGTGCTCGATTGAATGGAACAGTTGTCGCTACATTATTATTAAAGTAATTATAGTCTTTATTAATAATATTTAAGAAATAATATCAAATTTAAATATTTTTAATTTCTCCCATCAAATTTTAAAGTGACATTGCTTTCTGGTGACATAGAAATGTTTGAATCGGAAAATAAACAAAATAATAAATGTGAAGCACAGTTTCTGAAACACTTCTTAAAAAAAAAAAAAAAAAAAAAAAAAGCTACTGTAATAATTTTTTAATTTGATTTGTCTTCTTTTGTTTTCTTCTTTTCTTATTTGACTTTTAGAAATTTTCATGTTAAGTATTTTTCACATTCAGTTATATCAGAGTATTCAAACATATATCGGTTTTCTGTTTTCTGTGTAAAATTTACTTGACACTTTTCTTTTCCGTTTTCCCCCTCCCTTAAAAAGTTTGCTTCTACAGAGAAAGTTTCAGAAAAATGTGACAAAATGAAAGATGTCTGCAAGGTATTAACATGTAGTCATGTTTTACAAAAAGGTTTTTTCTTAAAATTTTTTTGAAGAACAGGGAAAAAAAAGGATTAATTCAATTTCCTAATTTTGAATGTATACCTTTTTTTTTTTTTTGTTAATGAATATATTTCTTTTATTTTTCTTTTTTTTTACTGGATATTGTTAATAAATTAGTGTCATTTTTGCATAATGAAACTCAACAGTGTCAAAAATAAATGAGCACCAAACAATATACAGTCAAAAGTCTTTCATCCGGACTCGTCGGGACTTCGGCGATTCCGGATTATTGGTTTTTCCAGATTATAGATCATCAGTTTAAATCTAGTAAGATGGCATGCAGAATTATAAAATTAAAAATATGAAACCGTAATTTATGAAATAAAGAGCAATTATGATCTAAAGGGTATCAAAATTTACCAAAAAAAAAGCTTAATATTTATTTGTTTACTTTATTAAACATTTCTTTTAATGCGCGCATGCGTAAAGCATACATTACGCATAGTTGAAATTAGAAAATTGCAACCAGAAAACTATTTGATGAGTATTCGTGATATTTATAATGGCGAGGAAATTGATTTAAATTATATCGGAGTACATCGAGATGAAACACTACATTTAGTGAGGAAGTATAAGCCGAATAAAATAAAAACATCTGCCCTGAAGATGAAGATAGTGCTGACAGATCAACTTCCAGTTCATTGCGCGTTGCAACGTTCCCCCTTCCCCCCCATAGAGCAGCATGAAATTGTTAAATAGATTTCGGAATGGTTAGAGAAACAAAGGATATGCCTTTATCCATTTTTTGTGCCAATTTTGGCGGTACGGCTTTTTTTCTTAGATTAGATTAGATTATCCATTTTTTGCAGCAATTCCACTTTTTGTTTGATGGACATCGAAACATGCTTTCGCTTTGTAGATCCTTTGGCAGTTCCAGAATCGGAAACTCTTTTTGACATAATCGAAAGTTCAAGCTTACTTTTTATAAAATTGCTCTAACAGTCTGCAAAACATAATAAGCCGGATCCAATTTGAAGGAACGACGCAATCTGCAACATTAACTGAAATAGATAATTAGATGTTGGAAAATATGACCTATTGTAACCCTTTTTCTGCATCATCTCTCCTCCTTGAAATAATTCTAACTTTTACTTAAGGTTTAGTTTTTATTTTAAAGGAATATAGCAATTACTTCTACTTTGTTTTTCACTGCCACTGTTTGTATTAAGAACGAACTGTTCCAGCCTAATTAAGATGCGAAAACGAAACTTAATCTTACGTCATCTGGAAAGCTTGAGTCATGCCGATAGCTGATTGGTTGCCGTGAGATTACGTCATGTCTACTTCAGGTATAAGTATCTCG